TGTGTATGCTCCCATCCTGACTTCTCTTATCCCAAGTGATATCTTCAAGTTGTCTTCCTTAAGTTTTAAATTATTTTCTAATCTTTTGCATATTTCTCCTCAGGTAAGCCAAAGAACCACACTCTTTGGAACCAATGACTTCAAGCAATAGAAGAAGCTAATTGAACACAACCTTGACATTATCTGGCCAGCCCGTCTTGCACAGGTTTTGGAAACTATCAGTATATCCCAAAAGGTGTTTTTAAATAACCCTCTAATGTAGCAATAACAATGTGAAAATATTTTAAAGGGGTTACTGGTACATGACTAGAAATACAATCACTTATGTCACCTTCCTTGTGCTTCTGTTGGCTGGGTGTGGTTTCTCTGTCATTTTATCAGTGACTCTCTCTTCTCTATGCCACTCCTCAGTCTTGAAATAGAATAATATTGGTCTTCTGCCCACTCCTGCTCCAGATTTCCCATCCTAGTTTTTTTTTTAATAGTTGCAGTTCTGCAGAGTTTCCTTCTGAAGCCTGCAGATGCACAAACTTTCGAGGAGAGTTCTCTAGGGAGAACTGTACAAATGAGTATTGATTAGGGCCTATTGGGTCCTATTTGGAATCACACAATGGCAAGGAATAAAAAAACCAGGAGTTAGGAATCCAAATAAAAGTTTTTCCTTTTTTTAACCATAGTTCACATTTATTCAGGATTTTACTTTGTACATTTAAATCAGTTTTTCCTATAGCTTTTATAAATAGCTTTTGGTTTAAGTAGGTACTTGAAAACACTCATTAACACACACCTCATTCAGGGTAATTGGCAACATTCTCAACTGGAGAAATGTATAAAATATAAACCCTTCAATTAAAGAGCTTTTTTTCCCTTTGGAGATCTCTTACTTAAAAAGTAAACCACCCTCTCTTAACCTTTATGTACATTGATTGCAACAATATTTTGTTAAAAATAAAATAAGGCAAATTGTCATATATACTATATAAAAATATAAAAAGAATAATCATCCTCAGAAGAACTATAGCCAAACTATAGAAATTATTTTGTCAGAAATGATTAATTATGAAATGTCAAATTATGGATCTCAAGCAAAATTATTGACCTTTTTTGGAATGCCTAAACATATAAAAAATGAAATGGTTTACTTTGATTTTCCTGAACTGCAGTTTGATTGTATTTAAAAGTTATATACTTTTCCACTGTTGATTTCCCTTGGCATACTGAGTTAATGCCAATTTTCCTTAACTTACGGTATATTTCAAAGTCTGCCACTTAGTTATCTGTTACTGCTCTTCTGCAGTCCTCTGTATGCATCAAAGTCTGATAATATCATATTCTTCCTAACGTATTTCTACCATTTAAACTATATGCCTTCTGAATAAGAAAAATTTTTACCTGGATAACAGTGCATGTAATATTTGCCCTGACTCCATATCAGATAGGATTTCACATGAAATATGGAAAGAGAAATATTGATAATCATGGTTAATGGACTTTGAAGACATTTTAATATTGGCTCAGCTCTGTAAGTCCTTTGCTATAGGAATTGTCTAGTTGGATTTGTTATCAGTTTATAGAAAACTGGATTGTGAATTCATTTCCTAACTTTGCAAGTCAGGGGCACTCACGAAGATATGAAAAAGTCTGGCTCTTTGAGTATAAGGCTCATCCAAATCTTTTTTCAAATGTTAAAAAAATAAAATAATAGTACTTATCATTATTAATTATATATTTAATGATTGCAAATCTGGTGTTTGAGTGCCCATGTGTTAATATTTCTCTTGTTATCTGATTCAGTGTAAGCAGAGAGGGAGTCTCACGGGATTGATTCACTCCATCTTTGCCATTTATTTTGACCCCAACACATGGAATGCAATGGAGAGAGCTCAGATAAAAATGTCAAAAGAGGTGTTTTATAAATAGCATTGTATTTAAAGCACAGGCAGACAAACTGAGATGGTGTTTCCGAAGAATAGTCCCTCCACAACTAAAGAGCTTCCAAGATTAACCACAAAGGAGGTGTTAGGGAGATCTTGGACATTGATTTCTTTCAGAATTTATCTGTTTTTAAATCCCACATGCTGCCAGTTTCCTTTGTTTTCTCTTTCACAGACTTTGCTAATAATTGACAAATTATTAGCAAATTATTTAGAAGAAGGGCATCAGTTCTTTTCAGGGAGGTAGAATTTGATTTTAACAGGGAAGAATACAGCAGGGAAGACTTTGATTTAAAAAGTATAATAGCAGTTACGTTATTCTATCTTCTCCTCTTTCAGCTTCCCTCATCTCTTATCTCCTCCCCCCTCTCCTCTCTTCTCTCCTGTGACTTTTCTTACTTCGTTGGTTAACTACTATATGAAAGGCACTGCATTAAATATATGACTATACTTGCTATTCAATTTTCAGCCAATTACCTTCTGGTGTTCTTCTCTATTTGGAACTGAGAATAATAACTCTTTATTATGACCTTTCTAAGAAAAGAGAAAGGTCATATAAACAGTATAAACAATTGACAATGGTTACATAAATACCAACTTCAAGCTTATCTGCTTTCTGGGTGTCATGAGTCAATGACTCTGTCATTATTGCAGTCAGTGTAAAAATAACTACTATAAAAACATTGCTCCTTGATAGCACAGTGTGACATGAATGCGAAGAAACTCTTTTACACAAGACAACATCACATATCTCATTTAAATTTGATTAAGATAAGTTACTGGGAACTAAATTAGCACCATCATTAGAACAGGTGTTGTGATTCCTTGAATGACATAGCTAATGTCTTTTGAGACCCTTGAAGTACTGTGAAATATAATCAATTGGGAGAAAGCAAATTAAGTGCTGCCCCATGGCCATCAACCTTTGGCTAACTGTTTAAAAATACCATGGTACAGGTCAAGGGAGGAACTGCTTTCTTGATGATGTCCTCACCTTGAAGGGTTATGAGTTCATCTATTAGACCACAAAGAAATACTTTTTTAAAAATGTGAAATAAACACTTCTCATGATTATGGCTTCATTCCTCTTTACACAAAATTATAAAGGAAATTCTTGGGAGATATGCTGTAGATGAATGGGAGAGGATAAAAATTACCTTTGAAACTGTAGCGGTCATTACTGAAAAGTGCCAGAGGATGTATACAGGGATCACTTATCACAGTGATAGAAGCCGGGAAAAGGGAGTTGAGTTAATTTCAGTTTGAGGGAATAGGAACAAGTTTAGATCTATACATTTTTTATGAAGCAATTTTGTTACACCTGATTTGTATGTAAGTCATGAAAACTGAACTGAGTTTTCTCTCCTATGAAAGCTGGAGGCAAATTTAGCTTAAAGCCGAGAACAGAATGCTAGAGTGTTCTTTCAGATCTCTCTCTAGAAAGTTGTTTCCATGTATGTGTTATAGAAACATCACCTTTCTTCTATCATCCTCCAGTGGCTAAGTGACAAGGGTTATTTATTTATTTATTTTTTACCAGTGATGCTGAATAATTCAAGGCACTCCTGAACTTTGTGATGTCATTTCTGCCAAACATACCTAAATCCACCAAGATTTGTCATTAAGAGTTAAGGATTAAGCCATTAAACTACAAATCATGCATTCCTCAATTCCAATCACTGAGATATTAATATTATATGTGAAAACTGCCTTTTTATATTTTCAGGTAACTCTGAGAGCTTAGCTTATATAGATTTTTATTTCTAGTCTTTTGCATCAACACCATCACCACCAACAAGAAGAATGACAACATTTCCGTGCAGTTGATACCAGTTTTGTTTCTAAAGAGGAAAAAAAGTGGCACTCATTAGAATTAAAATTGCTAATTTTTAATTCACGTAATTTTGGTTCTTTATCAGTGGCCTTGTTGGCTGCAAAGCCTCCAACAATTATCAATCAGTAATTATCCAATGAGAAAACCAAATTACATCAAAGCATATTTACAGTTTGTTATTTTGTATGTTCTAATTACATAGGCAAGGGTAATTGAAAAGCAACTAAAAAATGTAAGCATAATAATCTTAGGCTTTGTTAGTATAATTTTGTCAAGAAAAGCAAGAAACGCGCATGTTGGAATTTTGTTTTTATTGGATTTCCTAGTGTCTTCAAACGTTCCCAGTATTGGTTGGCTGGGCCAGACCCTCCTGAATACACTGGTGTCATGACTATAATTTGTGGCATAATTATTAATTATGATAAAAAACACAAGAATTATGATAAATAAAACTCCAAGAATCAATATCCTAATTCTGTTTTGCTCAGACACATATAAAATATAAAGCGGGCTTGTATCCTTCATACAATGGAAGAAGGCGGCTAGATATCTTAAAAATGAGAGGGGAAAAATTATTTGTGACTGAAATACTACCACAGATGATCCAAAAAGTGATTTACTAAACTTTGAAATTGCATTTTAAAATGCTCAATTTCCTATATTTTGTTTCTCTCATTAATAAAATACAGCTTTGGTCAGATTGATATTTTTAGGGGAAACTGAGTATTAATTTTCTTTTTCAAAAGGTTCTTCCACATTTGCTACTTTCTGGCATTTCTTCCAATCATTTCTCTTGAGTGAAATGAAATTTTAATTAAATCTGTATAAACTCGTCCAAATATGGAATTACTCTTTCTGTTACTAATGTTGTTTTTCATTCTCTTTGCTAGCCAATTCCAAGCGGCAAAGTAGCTCAAATTTATCTTTATTTTTATTCTTGAGTTACAAAATTTGGGATTTAAAGCTCTAGCTCTTATTCATGTAAAAATTATTCTAGAAGCAGCAACAGCATGATGCTAATTGGGTGCTCAGTTTACAGAGCCTTCTTCCACTTCCTTTGACTACTTCTGAAGCATTAGATATCATAAATGTGGTCCCTGCAGTAGAGAAAAGTCACTTGCATTTCCTTTTAACAATATAGAAATATTTATTTTTGTCTTGTGGATCTTTCAATTGTGAGCACACTCTTATTGCTGTATATGGTGGCAGAAAACATCACGTGAAATACCTACCAGCCGGAATCCTGGGGGGCAGAGATCCTCCCCCTGGCACTGGATGCGGGGCCTGGATGCTATTTAAAAACCCTGCCCTCAGGAAGCTGGGGCAAAACGCCTCCACCCCAATGGCCGGGAAGGATCCTTTTAAGAGATAAAAATGGACATTAATCAAAATCTTCTTTGTGGAAAAGTTGTTGATCATTTAACTGGAGGAAAAAAAACCCCTATGATTAATAAAGACATCAAACCTTAAAAGAAGCAATAAAATGAAAAGGAATAGAATGCATTTTTATTCACAAACCTTAAAAAAATCAACTTAGTTTTTGAAAAGAAAGCTACTCTTAACTAGTTACAATCCAACACGGTTTAAAAGAATGCTAAGATAAAATTTCTAAGCCCCCATTTGGCAAAGTGGATATAAATGTCATTGGGGTTATCTTTTTGCAGAACGCACATCCACGAGTTCTGGAAGACAACCTCAGCAGGATGGGATATCGAAGGCCCACTGGAAGGAGCAGTGCTTTGCTTTAGGTATGTCAGCAGCAGTGCGTTTTTGAAATAGTGGCAAGGAAATCAATATATACAATTCTTAATTTGTTATACTTTTCGGGAGAAGACGTGAGAGTTTGCAAAGGTCCACATGCTTTTTCATTTTCAAGAAGGCTATTATGAAGAAAAAAAACCCCAAAAAACAAAAAGTAAATTACTTGGAAGTTTATCCCATAAGATTATATCATGAATTGTAGAAGAAAAGACTGTCAGAGCTGGAAAGGACATCAGAGATCATCCAGATCCTCATTTTACAGACTAGCAAACTGAGGCACAGGAAGGGGCAGAGGGCTGCTGCTGAGCTGGCAGACTCCTAGGACAAAAATCTTTCCACTATAGATTAAAAATAAATAATGAATCACTTCCCATTTGGGAGATTGTTCTTCTCCGAATATGAATTAGAAACCCTGCAGTTTGGAATAATAGCATTACAATTTGGTGCCTCAATGACCTGAAAGACACTAAAGTCATTCAGAAGAAAATTTAATATCCAGGCACTATGAGTGCCTGGGCAGCACTGGTAATTGATACGGTATATCGAAGTTTAATCACAGTAACACCCTCAAAGCAAGTTACGCTGACAGTGGTAAGGAATGCATATCATTGGGGCCTCTGAAACCCCCACCAGGCCCAGCAGTTTCCGGATAAAGAGACCTGGGATCAATCCTCGCACGCTCAGTTTTAGCAAGTCCTGAATTTTTGAAGAGACTTCATTCTGTTCCTTGACACAAATTTTGCCCCTAAAATACGTTAAAATTGAAAGCCTCATTGAACTTGGACCAGGATTAAAGGGACCCGGTATACCTGCCACTCTCTATACAACTTGCTTCTATGGAAAAAGTTGTTGCTAAAGAAAAGCCAGCATTTCTTAGATCTTTAGAGATGTTTTAATGGATGAGGCCTGTTCATTGTACATTGGATTAAAGGAAGCATAGAAGGAAAATCATATACTGTAAATAAACTCATTTTGTTGTTGATTTTGTGAGGCTTTAGTAAGACGGTCCAGCAGAGTTTGAGTCCCTTAAACATTAAGAGATGTGGCTAATGTGCCAAGTAGTAGGCCAAAAAGTGTTCTGGGGTAACTTGTGATGAACAGTGACTCTAATTTCTACTACATGGGGGTATCTACTATTGAGCAAAAATGTGCCCTCATGTACACGCATCCCACATCGCCATGTTTCAACGCTGTCTGAGAAAATACCCATAGCCCAGGAGCATCACTGAGTATCAGGTAGAGATAATTATATATTTATTCTGCATTCTTAAAGTTACAAAAGCAATGGTGATTTTGCTTCAGAGAAAATAATTATAAGGAATTCAGATTGTAGTATAGGCTGTGACAAACAGAAATATTCCAATTCTAGCTGATTATGGATTTACTGAAGCCAAGTGATAGGAAGCTTGGTTCAAGAATCCTAGATTGAAAAGAAAAAGAATAACATAATCATGCACAGGAAAGGAAAAGGAATATAATTAAATTATCACAAAGGAAATTTGAAGAAAAACAAAAGCATGTAGAGCAGACTTTAAATAATGTTAATATACTTCACATTTAGAGATTTTTATCTTTGTGTTTGCTATTTTAGCCATAATCCTTGAAACTGTTAACTTAGAAACGATGTCCATTATTAACTCCTTGAAACGAAATACAAATATTATTTTATTGCTATGATTACACTGATAACTATTACTGTGGTTGTGACAGCCTGTCATATTTAACAACAGCTTTCATTTTCCTAAACTTGCTGCATCATTCATAGTGGTTTTGTTATGTTTCTTTACTGTGGGTTAAAAGGTCTTTCATTTACTGTGGCATCTCTTCCTTAAGGAACTGTCATTTTTTTTTTTTTTATATATGAAACAAACAACAGGAAAAGCTGGTGTACATGAATACACATTCAGTTGAAATATCATATTATGTGCTAACAATGCCTTATCATTTCTCTCCTTAGGGTCAGTCATGTCAGTAGAGATTACATAAAACACAACAGCTCTGTTTTCACAATTCAATAATGAAGCTGAATTTATTCTTTATTATAATTCTCTTATCTCTTAATCTATAATAAATTAAGTTCAGGAACCTTTTGGGATTGAAAAGGAAATAATTTTAGTCTGGTTTGCTGTAATGCTTAAATTGTTGGCTCTTGCTGTTTTTATTTTTTTTAAAAAGAAGTAATTGTAACAAAGAAAAAACAAGAGAGAGATGCACAAACCAGGAAACAGACTCTTAACTACAGAGAACAAACTGATGGCTATCATAAGGGAGGTGGGTGGGGGGATGGGGATTAAGAAGTGTACTTGCTGTGATGAGCACCTGGGTGTGGTATGGAGTGTCCAATCACTATATTTTATACCTGAAACTAATATTACACTGAACTGGAATTAAACAAGGAAACAACAAAATAAATAAGCAAGTGTAGAACTTAATTATATTGTAGCCAAAGAAAAAACAACAGCTAGTATCTGCAGCAGGATAAATGTAAATGTCCATCAGCATTTTGTTTTTAGTTGCATTCAGTATACCGAAGTATTTGTCAGAATAAACTAGGCTTTTATTTGATGAGAGTACTCCTCCCTTTCATTACAAGTTTGCAATATAAGATGTGTCACTTCACACATAGGCTTTTCTAAATCTCAAATAAGTGAGTTTCCAGTTTGTTAGTGACAGTGGGTTAAAGAGACACCATAATAGGATATTAGCATTATATTGTCTCTAATATAGAGTTGCCAGATGATGGGGCATCCTGTATTTTTATTTGCTAAATCTGACAACCCTACTCAAATATAATTTCAAACATTTTTGAGTATCAAACTCACAAAAGATACTATTAACTACTGGTATAAGGTAAGTTAACGTAAGTCACTGGCTGCAGGAGTTGGTGATTTATCTGTCCTTCAGTAGTTCAGTGGTCGTCGATGTCCCTTAGGGACTACTGCAAATTATGACTAGGGGAAGACATTATTTAGTGGGTGAGGGTCAGGATGTATGCTAAAGGCATTGTAATAACTGGTATACTCCCTACACAAAGGAGAATTTCTCTCAAAATGCTAGTAGCACCACTGAGAAACCCTGCATGAGAGCAAAGCATCCTAAAAAAACACAGTTGGTTGCTGGTGACCACATTGTAAAAAAAGCAGAAGTTGACATGATCAGCCTGAATTCTGACATCTGGTTTGATCAGTTAATGGAGGATTCTGATTACCTAGATTATTTGGAAAGTAATCTGGCCTGTAGAGTTGCCAGTTTTCAAAGAGTTAAAATAAAATATATTTAGGGGTGCCTGGGTGGCTCAGTCATTAAGCGTCTGCCTTCAGCTCAGGTCATGATCCCAGGGTCCTGGGATTGAGCCCCACGTCCGGCTCTCTGCTCAGCAGGGAGCTTGCTTCTGCCTCTCCCACTCCCCCTGCTTGTGTTCCCTCTCTCACTGTCTCTCTCTCTGTCAAATAAATAAATAAAATCTTTTATATATATATTTAAAACTTAAACTCAATGAAACAAAATCATTTTCAATTTGATTTGCAGCAATCTCTTTGAAATAACTTTACCTTGGAAATTAGATATCATTAAGAATTTGTGTAAAAAGATGACTATGACTTTGAACTCTTCATGCCTTAATTTCCTCATACATAAAATGAAAATAACAACTCACCCTACCTAATGGGGCTGTATGTAAGGATTAAATAAAAGTAAATAATCATAAATATAAGACAATATTATTAGATGGTTCTATTTTTTTTTTTTTTTAAGAGAGTGCGAGCAGGGGAGGGGCAGAGTGAGAGAAAGAATCTTAAGCAGGCTCCACAGCCAGTGCAGACAGAGCCTGACGTGGGGCTCGACCTCACAACCCTGAGATCATGACCTGAACTGAAATCAAGAGTCAGACACTTAACCAACTGAGCCACCCACATGCCCCAAGAGTCCTAATGCTTTAAAAAAAGAAACCTCTTTGAGTGAGAAATTGAGGTAGACTGATTAAATTTTTCTAATGCAGAACTACCTGCCTCCCCCACATACATAGGCAAAAACCTAACAGAAGAAATCCCTTCATTGAAGATTACATATCAATAATTTAATTTTGCCTGAAAAGTTTAATAAAAGCAATAGCCCTATAATATGAATTTTTTGAGATGTGGTTCCTTCAAATTGTCCCCATCTGGTTTTACTTTTGCAGATACTCAATTTGATCTATGTGTAGACAAAGAATATCTAGACTCAGTTGAAGATAATTTAGAATTGTAAACTTAAAATACATGCACACATGTGAATCAAATAAATTATGAGTAAAATATAGTCATAATACTCCCTGTGGAGGATGCTCAAACATTTTCATTGTTAGAGGTGTGTGATCAGAGAATTTTGGAGAATGCTTGTTTAAACAATAAAACAGTGAGAAAAATGCCAAAGTATTCATGAAGTAAAACAGTTACTTCAAGAGCTTAAACAATTAGGGCAGGGCCGTGTTTTCACCTGGCCCAAGGCAGTGATCCTAGAATTCATGCTGCTCCTTACACAGTGGTTCTCAACCTTGGATATACATTAGAAAATAGGTATTAAAGGGCCAAGCAAACACACTGAACACACAGAAAATAGA